AGAAGTACATTGGCCTTGCATTAGCGGTGGGAGCTGGGATAGCCTTCGGCTCAGGCGGTGTAACCCACTCCTTCCACGGCTGAAGTCGACTTTCTTCTGGGAATGGACCGTTAGGACCAGGCCCATCCTTCTGATACGGCGCGGGCTCCAGTACAATGAATCTTGCCTCAACACTGTACCGCGTTGGGCAGCCGGGCCGAGCCGCTCCATTTCGAAATGCAGCATGGGGTACAACTATGTGCGGAGCTCATTAGTTAAGGTTTCTTGTCCATTGGTCGACTAGGCCAGTCTCGGTCACCACTTGGCGGGCGGTGATATGCTCGCGCCAATTGATGATCGGCAACTTACTGTTGAAAAAGCCACCTGGCGGGTGGGTGTCGTACTGTGTCATGATAACAATCTCGTCAGGGGTCTGGTTGCTCATCCAGTACCATCTGTGGGCAGGATTCCAGGAAAAGTAGGCAACTTCCTTGGCTGCTTCGTGGGTGATGCGGTCAACCGAGACAACATCGGCGAGATCGATGTTAGTCCTTGGATCGCACACGGCGAAGGGAATGTCCTCGGCATGATTGAACATCGGGCGCCAAATACTAAACAAAAATGTAAATCACAGCGAAGCCGAGGAAGAGTTTTGGTCGCTGCATACTTGATAATTCTCGCCCGACTCTGGCCTGAGAGAACGCGTTGCCGTTCTTCCTCGGTCAAGAACAGCGATATTCTGCTCCAAGAACTGGCCACGGTATTATCTGCAGCCATAATTCGAATTAGCGGTAGAAACGAACAATGTGCCGACGAAATAATGAAGATTCTCTTACCCAAGTGGGCGAAAGGAAGGTGTCCCGTGCGGCCTCCTTGCGAACGTGCATCTCGAAACTGATTTTAGGTCAAGTGTGATTAGCAAGTACGATATTGCCACCTAATGAAGGCTTCTGTAATCCAAACTAGAGTAGTCACTAACATTGGCATTGATGGGGAAAATCTCATCTGTACCAAATCGAGATTTTCTGCAAATCATCAGCGTCTTCTTTGGTTGCGCAGCCATGGTGCAAACGTACAAAAATTGAGCCATCTCTTCCAAGTAAGGTTTACAGTCATCCGCTCCAGTCATTTTCGAGAGCTCTTTGGACTTGTTCTCGAGGAAACAGAAGCCGTTCTCCTCAATAGTAGGCTTGAAATCTGGCAGCGTTCGTATGTCGGTCAGATTAAGCTTGAATTGCACACTCGTCAACATCGTCGGTCTTTTTTTCCAACAAAATCTGCCTGAAGCTTCCTTCCATGTCCTTCATGACGAAATTTGACTTGGGGAACGACTGCCCGTCAGGGCCATCCCAGGAGTACGGCTTCGCCGTTTTGTGGAGATCAGTTCTCTCGAAGAAAGCAGTGACTGCTGCCATGATTGTCAATGATAACTGGAAGGATAAAAATGCGGAAGCGATTGCGTGTTACAGGAGTTTGTCCAAAGATGGGATCATCAGTGCCATCTTCAATGAGAGGCGTCACGGAGCATACTTATGCCCACTTTAGTACCGAGCTTGTCATAGTCTGGTACGAGGCAAGCAGTGGCGTGAAAGCACAATATGATATGACTAGACAACTGTCCTAGGTGCAGGGGATAGGGGTTGAGCGGGGAACCAAGGCCGGGCAGATTTGTGCGCTTTTTGCTGCCGTCTTAATGTCAGGTCCCAGCCCCTGCCCTCCGTCACCTCAAAACGCCGGCCCGCCTCAACCGACGGAGTCTCGCGATATATGAACTCGACTCGGGTGAGACTTCTTCGGCCGAAGAGCCGAAGCATTACACCGGGACCATCAGATTTTCATCATATTCTTGTTGTACAAAGGAGTCTTTCTTTTAAGATGTTATCATTTTTATCATCAGCCGGGCTGTTTTGCCTTGTGATTACGTCGTGGCTCGTGATAGTCGCGATATTGCGCGCCGTTTACAACCTCATTTTCCATCCACTGGCAAGATACCCAGGCCCGCGACTGGCAGCTATCACCCGACTGGTTCATGTGTACCACTTCGTGAATGGCGATGCTGTCGGCTGGCTCGATAAGCTCCACGCAGAATACGGCGACGTTGTGCGCGTCGAGCCTGGCCGTCTGAGTTACATCACACCTCAGGCTTGGAAGGACATATATGGGCATGCGACGGCCACTCGTAAAGTTAACTCGAAAGAGAGGAAAAACAGCAAGAATCTCTTCTCTAACGGGAGTTACTCGATTTCGTCAGCTCACGGTCCCGAGCACCAGCGCCTACGCAAAATCTTCAGCAATGCGTTCAGCGACCGCGCCATCACGAAGCAAGAACCTATGCTGGCGCTTTACGCACAGCAAATGGTCGATCTAGTTTGTCGGAAGATCTCTAGCGAGAAAACCTCTCCTGGAGCTGCTGTCATGGATGCAGTCCAGCTCTTCAATTTCGCCACGTTCGATATCATGGCAGATCTTGCATTCGGCGAAGCACTTGGCTGCCTCGAGAACGGTGGATCAAATGCTTGGGTCGACGCTGTCCAGGTGAATTTCAAGCGGATGATCGTCAAGGCAAGATTGAGGCCTTACCCGGTAATCTCATATTTGTGGCATCTATTCCAGCCGGAACAAGATAAGAAGGCTGCTGCTGTGCACGTTCAGAGCTCGCATGAGCGTGTCACGAAGAGGTTGGCCAAGGGCGCTGATGCCAGGAACGACATCTGGGGGCTCGTTCTCAAGGCCGAGGGTCCGAACGCGCTGACTCGTACTGAAATGAACAACAACGCCAACAACTTGTGAGTTGCTCCTGGTACCTATCTGAAGCTACGCATGTTAGTAACTGACACACGCGGTTTGCCTTCCCCTACTTCTAGCATGATAGTTGGCACTGAGACATCAGCGACAGCGCTGAGCGCTCTCACATATCTTTTGCTGAAGTCTCCGAGAAAGCTTGAACGACTAGTTAGAGAAGTGAGATCTGTTGGCGACTCGAACCAGCTGAAAGGCGATGTTCTCAAAGACTTGCCGTATCTTCAGGCGTGCCTCACCGAATGCCTCAGATGTGCGAAGAGTTTCCAGTCTCTCATTAACATGAAACACAACTGACGGTTCATCGTAGTACACCCTCCTGTCCCGACGGGTGGTATGCGTGTCATTGGTGAAGGGGGCAACACCGTCCTCGGTCATCTTCTCCCCGAAGACGTTAGTATCACCTTCTTCAGTATCATCTCATGGCCCTTTTGATGAGGGCCCGTTCCATGGCTAATTGAACCACCTTCTAGACTAAAATGTCGATCGCGACCTGGACCGCCTTCCGCATCCCTCGGTACTGGAAAGATGGCAACGAGTTCATCCCCGAAAGATGGATTCCAGGTGAGCGTGGGTACGATGAGTACCACACATACGACCAACATAGTGTGTTCCAGGTATTTGGGACCGGTCCGCGCGCTTGTATTGGCAAGAAGTAAGTTTTCCGAACGTTTTTCGAAGGCCAATGCCATCGCATCGATATAAATTCGCTGACCTGTTGGATCAGTCTTGCATTGCAGGAAATGCGTCTCTTGTACGCCACCTTTTTGTTCCATTTCGACATGGAATTATGTCCTGAAAGTGACCGATGGATGGAAGATCAGAAGTGTTGGACTTTGTGGTTCAAAGATAACCTTCAGATTTGGGTTTCCCAGAGGAAAGAAACGTGAGGTCACATTTAGAAAAAGCAGTTCAGTGGTCACGTAACTAGCTGGAAGTGACGTTGATTCAGCAGTTTTGCTCAAGTGAGAGGTATGAGGTAAAACGTATCGCTAAATACATGTAGAAACGGGTTCGTCTGATTAAAGCAAACTAGTGCATGATATCCTTTTTACCAAGGTGTCGAATGTGGTTCGTCATCTTGATAATATCCTCTCTTTTCTGAGGAATGTGATGTCCTCCTTCAAAGTTGATAACATGAGCGGCCTTCGAGGAGTAATGCGTTGCAAGAGTGTTTCTCGCCTGCCCTAAGTTGCAGTCCTGACTGCCGTGAAGGTGCAATGTAGGCACCGAAATCTTGGCAATGTCACCGCCCTCTGACTTGCTGCGGATATAATCTGTCGCGACATCACTATAAGCGCAACAGACCAACACTCCAAACTCCAATCGCGGGAGCCACGGCACCAATCCCACCTCCTGCTCCCACAGCAAGACTGTACTTGCTAGCCCGCCCTGCGAGAAGCCCAAGACACCAACAATTTTGACGTGCTCGTTCTCCAGCTGCCAGTCCTGTACTGCCATTTTGATGGCTTCGTTGAACACGGCAACTTCACCTTCGGTGTCGGTTGCGCCCTTGCGAAACCAAGAGAAAAACGACTTCATTCCGGCAAAGAAGGGAAGAACATCTGGGCCGGGGACGGCAACGTGGGGTGCGGTGGCAAACACGAACTCGAAATCCTCTTTGAGAGCTGCACGGAAACCCGCGAGTTGGAAACGGAATATGTCGGGTGAAGCACCGCCACCATGAATGCAGAGGATGGCCCGCGTTGGCGATCTTTTCAGTGATGTGACCATTGCGGCTGTGGATGGACAGGTATTTCTCTGCGTATGGGTAGAGAAATAAGACGGAGATGAAAATCTTGCCTCAAAATGTATAAGATTTGTGAAAAGAACGAAGTGAGTGAGTCTGGTGTGCAAGGTTTTTTGGTGCTGGAAGTATGAGTGGCTCCGAGGACAGGTGAGGAGAGCAATGTTCGGGAGATATTTATGTGCCTCGATGAGTTTATCGCATCAGATGAAAGAAAGCACAAGCCCACGGAGGCTTTGAACAAGGTACTTCGGCCGATTTCAGTGGGTCAAGGTAGATTTGAGGAAGAGAGCACTGTATGACTTTCTCCCCGGGCCTTATCGCATCATGCTTGCTCGACTTGATGACTTTGGCCCGCGGACCTTGAGCAGTCGGCTAGAATGTTCTCATGTTGGTTGCTACTTTTCTTGAGAGAGGTTGGCAGGATTTTGGCTCCTTCCACTGAGCATGTCTCCTTAGTTGTCTGAATATCAAATCAAGCATTCATGCGTACAACTACTTTCTCTCCAGAGAGTACCTTGTTTCGGACCATTTCCATCCCTGCCAGAATTGCCTCGAATCCACCATCTAAAACACGAAGCGGATGATGTTGCAAGTTTCCTTCGTTGATCAACTTCTCTACAGTTTCCCAAACAGAGACCCCAAAGACGCGCAGTTCTTCCGACGGATCGCTCTTGTAGGGCTCAGGCCAGGTGCATCCTTCCCCAAAGATTCGAGGGCCGACTGTAAAATCCGCGGTGACAACTTTTCGAGTCGCAGCATGCTGTTGCCAAGGGTCAAGAGACACGTACTTGCCGCCGCCTCGTCCGATAGCAGCGTAGCAAAAGGCGGTAGACTCGACGGTCGTGATGCAGTCCAAGGCATATTTCAAGTTCCCTTTCGTGTATGTTTTCTGAACGTGAAAAACAATCAGTCAGTGATTGGTTGCCTTACGATTACGCAACATGCAAACTTCGGATTTCAGCAACTCACAATCTTTTTCGCCAGCTCTTTATCATTGCGATCGAAAACTTCTACTGCCTGGTTTCTTTTCGCTAGGTCGAAATTCTTCGGGGAACAAATAGCAATCGGATCGAGACCGGAACTGCTCACGATGACTACGTCAGATATTTCCTCAAAGATATGGTGGACGATTTGACTTACAGTTTCAGCATTTGCATGGCAATTGTCGCAGTTGCTGTACTGGCCCCATAGACCAATACATAGGCAGGCTTCGCAGCTCCTTGACCGGGCAGAGGCAAGCCAAGCAGCTTCATGGCGATTCCGGCGGTGCTCACTCCCACAGGTAGAGATGCAGCTGCTTCAGTGCTCCAAGACTCTGGAACCTTTGTCCACATCTTACCACGGGTCACAGCATACTCGCAGAATGCACCGCGCTCAGGCGTGGTTCCGTACATCTCGTTCTGGGCACCAAAGACCCTATCGCCAACCGAGATATTGTCAACCTCATCTCCCACGGCGACCACGGTGCCTGCAAAATCTGCACCTAGGATGCCGAACTTTGTCGCAAAGGCTCCCCTCATCTTGGTATCACTCGGGTTGAGGCCAACGGCCTCAACGCGAACCATGACTTGATCCGCTGGGATCTTGGGACATGGTGCCTCGTCCCAGATGACGACCTCGTCCTTGCCATTTACAACGATGGCCTTCTGAGTCGTCGGAGGGACAAAATTTTGATGAGAAAGACTGCCCATGCTGAAAACTGTCGATGGTGACTTGGAAAATCAGCCCGGAATACCTTGTTTACCTTATCCTCTGTAGCTGCTTCATACCTGTTAAACCACATCTCCTCACTTACCTACAAGAGAGCACTCTCCATCGACGTTCTTCAAACAGTCTTGGTTCATTCACCCACTCATCCACTCTACCCGAACTTGTAATCTTCGATCAACACAACTTCTACAATATCCCTGACCCGGCAACCCCGCTGTATCTCGCAAGAATACTCGGGTCTTTACAAGGGAGTACGTAACTAGTGGGACTCAAATTCGCTACTCGGACAGACTTATACAGCCGTACGGATAGACAATCTCGCAAATCTGGGAAAAGCATAACCGGCTGTACTACACATATGTGGACTCGGGGACCTGTGGGGATCGCAATATGTATTAGCGCTTTCTGTACCCTCTAGTTAGTAGGCTGTATCCATAGGACAACGGCTCAAGGAGTTATGGATCCCAATGTGGTCTCTGTGGTCCAAATTCAAACTTTGTTTTGACTTTCCTAAAGTGAGTATTCAACACGCGGTTACCTCTTCGTCGGGCACATTCACGTTACTACGGATACTTCGTAGATGCATCGATCTGATCCCTCCCTTGTTCGTCTAATTTTCAACCGGGGCCATCCTTGATGATGAAGACAAATCGTCACGGGGTCATTAAGGTCCTGTTGCCGCTTACTACTGGGAAGCTTGGTATGGTATTCTTTGTTACAGCTCGCCTATCATGATGCATACTACCCTTTAACTTTGCAAGGACCCCAAATCCAGGGTCCATCGAGGAAATCTTGAACCTATCAAGTAGAGTTTGGGGATCTCAATAGACTTTCGGATGGCTCCGCTGATTATCATTGGAGTGGGATCCTTTCACCTCCACCTCTGAGAATACCCCAGTTGTTCGAGTACCTGTACTTCTCTGCCCAGGCAATAATCGCATCCCAGTCCTTGCATTGATGCTGATAACCCCACCCCGTCCCGACCTGTTCGTTGTACTTGCGCCACTCGAGCGTCACATCTGCATTACACATAATAGTCTGTCGTAGATAATCCCAGCAATGATTGAGATGCTCAGAATTCCAACCAGGATCTGTAGGCAATTCTCTCTTTGCCCCCTCGTTCTTGTTCAGGCGGTCGATAAGCTCATAGTATGCGTCCATAGTGCTATACTATTGTAGGGGTAACATTAAGCCAGAGTTAGCAGCGATTCAGTTATCTTGGGAGGCGAAATTCCGGCGTTGTGTGCGAAAGGGAAAATGAGGCTATTCGGTGTGACGTACAAGACAATGAAGTTGATGAAAGACCGAGGGATACGCGCGGTGTTCCGGAAGTGATTGATTCAGCCCCGGCAAGTCAGGTAGAGCAGTCTCGTTCTTGACCGTAACCCAACCCCGCCCAACTATTATCAGATATCAGCAGTCTGCCTGACGTTAAGACTACTTGGAAGTTTCCTTTCGTGGTCAATCCGGGGAGGTGGGGGGGGGGGGGGGGTTTGTTCACTTGGCAGCAATCTGTTCCATGCCTCGATACTTTCAGGGTTAGGAGGCTGGCCGTATAGTTTGTTCCCATGCAAGACCTTTTTCACAGGGACTATGATACCAAAGTTAGTGTCACATCAGTTATCAAAACAACACGTTGTCCACTTTGTCTGTATGTCCACACTTCTTCCTGGTCACCTTCATGGGTGCCCGGGCAGAGGAGATAGGAGATGGGGTTAACGTACTCTGGGGTGGGAACCACTCTGGTTGCGCCGGGTAAATAACCGTTGCAGGAGCCTCGGAGACATAGAATGCCGGGCCGCGAAATACGACGAGAATTAAGACCGCCGCAATGGAGATGGCATTCGAAAGTGATAGGGTAAGAATGATCAACTGAGAGCGCGGCAACCGACTAGTGGCCCTGGTGGACCGTCCGTCGTCACAAGGTTCACGAGAATGGAGCAGGCCGGCATTTTCGTCCTCCGTAGTCGAGAGTCTCGGTGTATCAGCCATGTTCACGCCGTTCTCTTCGTTTGAGAAGATCTTGGCGGATTTCGCCATCATGCTTCCCTGTCGTCAGAAGTGGGTAGTTTGAATGGGGGATATGTTAGTTGTCAGTCTTTCCTCAGAAGTAGAAGGTGTTTTTATAACCATCTCGGTGGGAAAAGCTGGTCGCGTTAGGTCAAATTAGGTAAATTCGCCGTGTGTGTAATGTTCCTTGCACGCAGACCATACCCACAGCAGGGTCCCCTCTCATCACATTTGACTGAGCAACATTCATGTACAGTGTTTCGGCGTACTGTGACACCTACATCCAGATAGAGGTCTTCAAGTCGAAGACGAGATGCTCCGTCAGATTCACCGGTCGATGTAGTTAACTGGAATCCGAGTCTCGGGGCTTAAGAACTCGTGGTAGAAGTCTCTTGTTATTTGAACCGCTGAATGATTTCTACTTAACTCGTGTTCCTCCCACTCGCTGACTCATTATTTCCGAAACATTCATCTAAGTCTCTCAGTTCGGCTTCTTCCCAATCATTATCAGCGTCATGTCGCCGAACGAGCCCATTGTTGTTGTTGGAAGTGCATGCCGGTTTCCGGGCGGTGTTGATAGCCCAGCAAAGCTATGGGAACTCTTGAAAGAACCGAAAGATTTGCAATCTGAAGTTCCGAAGGAGAGATTCAACATCGACGCGTTTTACCATACCGATGGCTCTCACCATGGCAGGACCAATGCCCGTCACGGATACTTTCTCGATGAGACGCCGAGGGCTTTTGATGCGTCATTCTTCAACATCCAAGCCGGCGAGGCAGAGAGCATAGATCCGCAGCAGCGTTTGCTCCTGGAAACCACCTACGATGCTGTGGCCGCGGCTGGATATGGACTACACGACCTTCGCGGTTCTGATACCGCGGTTTACGTCGGGTTGATGACCCACGACTTTGAGCTCGTCAAAGTCAACGACATAAGCTACAGCCCAACGTACTTCGCAACGGGTGCCGCTACAAGCATTGCGTCAAATCGTTTATCATACTTCTTTGATTGGCATGGTCCTAGTGTAAGAATGCCGTTTAGTTGAATCCACGGCTACTATCTCAATGTTCTCAAGCTAATCATGGTTATAGATGACTATTGATACTGCATGCAGTTCCTCTCTAGTTGCGGTGCATCTTGCGGTGCAACAACTGAGGAGCGGATCGAGCAAGACAGCTATAGCAGCTGGCTCCAACTTGATCTTGTCTCCAAGTACGTTCACGGCCTTTTCTGAAAGACGAATGACTCGGAAAGACTCACATTGCGATTCTCATAGTGAATTACATCACGGAGAGCAAGCTGAACATGCTTTCACCCACGGGCAGATCCCGAATGTGGGATGCTGCAGCCGATGGGTACGCGCGAGGTGTAAGTCCTGTCCTCCATTGCCTGTCGTGCATGATCCATGAGGACATAACTGTGCGGCGAGCGATTGGCTCGATCGTCGGACTTTCAGTGACCAAGGACACAATGTCTGTCAACAGGAAGGTGTTGCCACTGTGGTCCTGAAGACGCTTAGCCAGGCACTGCTTGATGGCGACTCCATTGAGTGTGTCATCCGTGAAACGGGCATCAACCAAGACGGACGCACAACCGGCATCACGATGCCGAGCCATGTTGCTCAAGAGACCCTCATTCGCGAAACTTATGCTCGGGCTGGTCTAGATATTGCGCAAGCTGAAAATCGCTGCCAATTCTTCGAAGCTCATGGTAGGTACCAAGCATGAGCGTGGGATTTGGACGTTTGCTTACCACCGACTCACAGGAACTGGAACGCCAGCAGGTGATCCTCAGGAAGCTGAAGCAATCTCGAAAGCTTTCTTTGGCAGCCAGGATAGTTCAGACGGTGAGCGCTTGCTTGTAGGAAGTCTGAAGACCGTCATTGGACACACCGAGGGCACTGCTGGTATTGCAGGCTTGTTGAAGGCCTCACTTGCTGTACAGAACGGCGTCATTCCTCCCAACTTGCTGTTCGAAAACCTCAGTCCCAAGGTTGCGCCCTTCTACAAGAACCTCTCTATCACTAAAGAGGCTCAGCCGTGGCCAGAACTCAAGCCTGGTCAACCGCGGAGAGCAAGTGTAAACTCGTTCGGTAAGCTCTTCAGTTAGATCTGTTCTAGACGTCCCAGACAATGCTAACGAAGGAAAGGTTTCGGTGGCACCAACGCCCACGCTATAATTGAGGAGTACAAGACCTCGGCTTCGAGCACGGGAATCACGTCGAAGCCAGAGTCTCAGATCACTTCAGCTGCATATGCCTTGCCTCTTGTGCTTTCTGCCAAGTCAGAGCGTTCGCTAAAGAGCCTGATGAAGCAGACTGCTCAGTTCATCAAGTCTCACCCGGATGTCGACATGCTTGATCTCTTTTGGACGCTCCTTCGCAAGCGATCCATCCTCCCCCACCGCCAGCATGTCGTTGGATCTTCCAGGGAAGCTATCATACTCGCCTTAGAAAACGCTATTTCGGAAAACGCCAGCTCAGAGCCCACCTTGCGCTCCTTCACCACCAGCCAGGAGAAGCCTCATCTCCTGGGTGTGTTCACTGGCCAGGGTGCTCAATGGCCTGGCATGATGAGATCGCTCATCTTAGCGATACCTCAGGTTCGCGACATCGTGATTGAGCTTGACCGCTCGCTCCAGACATTGCCTGTCGAATACCGCCCTTCTTGGACCCTGTACGAGCAATTCTTGCTCGAGGATGAGGCCTCCAATGTTTCCAAAGCCAGCTTTTCTCAACCGCTTTGCTGCGCTGTACAGATTGTTCTGGTGCGGCTGCTGGCAGCTGCTGGTGTTGAGTTCACCACGATTGTCGGTCACAGTTCAGGCGAGATAGCGTGCGCCTTCGCTGGAGGCTTCATCAGCGCCTCGCAGGCCATCCGAATTGCTTACCTCCGAGGCCTCACATCCAAGTATGCGAGCTCCCCGAACGGGGGCGAGGGAGGCATGCTTGCGGTAGGAACTTCACTAGAA